TATATAATATATAACATATGATATATTATATAATTTTATGTATTTTGAGGGACTCTAGTCGGAAACTCCGCACCTCCTCGGGGTCCTCTCGCATCGAGACTGCGACCTCCAATGGAGCTCCCGGGTCCCGCAAAAGGCTGGCGAAAAAAAAAAAAAACTGTGGCCCCCAGGCTGGTGCTGCGCCGACGCGTGCTTCCAGGAATTATCACCCTGCGCTGAGGACCTCGAATAGAGCTAAGGAGCAAGCCAGTGGAATAAGGAGCAAGCTAGCGCAAAAAACTATTGATGCTGAGTGCTGGCACCTTCTCGGCTCCTGCTTCGTCTTCCACCGCCGCCGCCACCGCCGCCACCACCACCGCCATCGCGGTCTCTCTCGAGCAACCTGCTCTGATGGTGCGGAGACGCGAGATTCTGTTTCGTAGATGTCAGAACCCTACTAGTACCATTGACTCTAGGGGTCCTTGCAATACGATGTACGGAGGATCCTAGTGACAAAATGAGCGTACCCGGTTTCCTGAAACTCCCATGACTTTCCACCCTAAAACCTCTACGCTAAACGCTATCTCCCTCTACCCCAAAACCCTACACCCTGAAGCGCTCAAAAGCCGAAACCCGCTGCCCTACATCCTAAAAGCCCTAAGCCCTCCTCGACAGCGGTCGGCGCAGCTGCCCGGCATCTCCGCGACGATCGGGCGAGCGACTATCGCCCCGGCCAACTGGGCCGACCTGAAAAGAAAACCCAGAAGTTGCTTTAGACGTTTTGGGTTTAGGGGTTTAGGGTTTAAGGGTTTTGGGTCTAGGGGTTTAGGGTTTAAGGGTTTAGGGTTTAGGGGGTTTAGGGTCGAGGGTCCAGGATTCAGGGTTTCATTGCTTAGGGTTTTGGGTCCAGGGTTTAGGGACACAAGCCAAGGAATCCTGATTTTAATGATTTCAAAGTAACCGTAACCCGCAAACCCCAAGACCCTAGAAACCCCTAAGACCCTAAACCGAACCCCCTGATTTGGATTTGAAGGCCTCCTCCTGAACCCTAAACCCTAAATCCCCAAATCCCTAAATCCTAAACCCCCTATAAAACCCTCAACCCCAAACCCCTAAATTCCTCCCCCCCAAAAGAAATCACCGGAGCGCAGCTTTGGGCCCTCGCTGAAGCCTCGTGGTCATTCCAATCAGGTCGCCGGCGCTTCCCTCCAAGGCGAGGCCAACCGGCCATGCTTGGTTATTCTGGTGTACCTTAAGCTACCATAACCTACTTTTTTGTAGGTTCTTATTATAACTCTAATATGGAAGGTAGTTCAAGGTAGTATAGTAAGTTGTGTGTAGTTGTGTGTTAGTTGATGTTGTGCTTCTGGAGTGTGGTTAGTGTGGGATCGCGTATGGTGCTGAGAGTCCTGGCCATGCTCAGTATGCTCCAGTCTGAGTGGCTGTGGAAGTATCCGGTGGCGATAGCAACAAGCAATCTCAATGTCAAGTCAATGCAACCGGGCTAGGCAGGCAGAGAGAGAGAGAGAGAAAATACAATAAAATAAAATACAAATAGAACATGCACGGTTTCGCAGCCAGCCACTTCGCGCACATCGCGGCTGACAAACGGTGAGACCGTGAAACTTGTGCTCTTGTGAAACGCCACAGCCAGGAGATGCAACCCTAAACCCTAAACGCTAAACCTAAACCCTAAACCCTAAACCCCTAAACCCTAAACCCTATCTGGCATCGAATTCACGCCTGCGGTTCCGACTCCGGCGTACCACCAAGGATCCTGGTATCACTTGCGCGATTTCCGAAAGTAGGGGGACCCTAACAGAGTACCCCAAAATAGTAGGATCCTTATTATAAGTCTATAGGGACCCCAATTTAAGGTACCCTGATTACGGGAAACTCCCACTTAGCCGAAGCTGCTGCGGCCCCCGAAGGCTTCAACGGCCGGCCTCAGCGCTTCCTCGGCACGCTTCCGAGCCTCCTCCTGTCGTTTTTTATCGGAACCCTCTGAAACTCTACCTTTCCTGAGAATTGGGCTTGTGTAATTCCTGCCTCAGTGTGGAGCTGCTGCTGCAGCGGCTTCACGACCTTAGCACTCGCCGATGTTTTGGATGAGGTTGCGTCAAGGGGGTTCGGCGCACCTTGGCCACTTCCTCCTGCACTGCTTTTTCCACCTTACTCTGCCATGCATGGCGTGCAGCTACATTTTTGCATGGGGATGGTGACCGGCCTCCAGCCACAAAGAAGACGATGTGCTTAACTGCGAGTACGAGCTACGCAGGGAGGGAGTCTTTTCCCGATGCCTTGCATGACATGGGCGCATTTGATGCGCACGTGCACACAAGAGAAGCCAATTTTTGAGCAGCAAGGACCATGGCTGATCGTTGAAGAACAGCAATCCCTCTTCTTGGCTGCGCTGGCTACGCCTCAGCCGACATTGATTCAGTTGTGACCGACTCTGCAGCAGGCCACAGTGCATGCGGTCGCACCATCAGATCTTCAGAAGCAGTATAAGAATCGGCAGCCGATCATGCAATTGGGGACGATTAGAGGCGAAAGACCGAATGTCGATGTTAGGGACTGAAGGACTGGACAGGGGGGGACAACCGTCACCGACCGTTCAAGACTTGGCAAGCTCAGAGTCTGCGGCCCACCGCTGGACCTGAGCCGAGTGCCACTTCTCCTCTCACAGGTCATAGTTGGGAATGACGTTGCTTCGTTTGAATGCAAGGAAAGGTACCCGAGTTCGGCGTCCTTCCATGGCTGGAGCTGGCTCTGCTCCCTGGTGGTCCGGCTCCTGGCGGCCTTGGGTTCCACATCTGCCAAGAGCCTCTGAGACAGACGTGCAAGCACGAGACGCGAGCAACAGCATGTTGCCCGAAGACTGCAGGGGAGTCTTCGGATACCGGGATCGACTGCAAGGCCTTCATGGACGGCGAGCGGGTCTGCGCTATGCCAGCAGAAACCCGCCTTGAGCTCCGCAGGTTGCCGTCATCTGGCGTAAGCGCTTTGGCCCCGCTCAAGGCCTCAGCCCCGGAACACTTCTCCCGCCGTCACGAAGGGCCTGAAATTCCCGTGTAGCCGCTTGAGACTCACAGCTGGGCATCCAGCAGGCAGCGAACCTGCCCGGTAGAGTCTGTCGAACATGACCTCGCAGGCATCTGCGTCTCCACAGAAGGACATGCTTTCCTTCTCGGGCCTTGCTGACATCCTCCACCGTAGGGGCTGGAGGAACTTTGGGCGCGAGAATCTCAGCGCCTCCCTTCCGGCCGTAGTACCTCCAGTCTCAGTGGACACTCGCACAGACATGGATAAAATCCTACACCTTCTCAAACGGCCAAAAGAGCCACTGAGGAAAGAGCGCCAGTGTGACCTTCTTCCGTGCCAGCTTCTCTCTATTGAGATGCTGCCTTGGCGAGACACGCAGTCGTTCCGGAGTCTCAGAGAAGTTCGAAACCGAGAGTCGGGCTGCCATGAGACGTGATCCGCCGCAAAGTTGTTCATGGCAACTACACGGCCCACATCCCGCTGAAGCCGGATGGCCAGGCAACAGAAGATCCCCTCCATGATTCTCCACGCATGTGCGTGCCAGCCACCGACTATGCAGAGATGTACTGCCAGGAAAGCTCAGCAGTTTAGTGAGTCTCCATACCACTGCTAGGCTCATAGGGAAAGGTAGGGGATGTCCTGGGGACTGCGTGAATGGAGTGCTTCAAGCGATCACTTCGGGAAAGACTCTGCTCTCTTTGTTGAATTCCCACACACAGAGTAGCTGCCTCGAGAACCGGAGTCACTACAACCACTCCTGTCAAGTCCATGCAGTTGTGCATAGACTGAAGACATTCGGAAGCCTCTCTTCGAGAGGAGCTGAGACGCCAAGGAACAAAAAGTTAGAGAACCCTCTAGCCTAAGGCTGGTCAGGATCCTGCAAATCCATGCTTGCAGCTCCTGGCAGCGAGCAGGAGCAGAACAAGAAGTCGGAAGTTGCATTAGCATGCACCTTACACAGAAAATCCATACCCGTCGGCTAGAAACAAGAAAGTGGCAACTGTCAAGCAATGCAAGTGGACTTAGTACGGCTTCACGATCAGTTCATGTGCTCTTTCCGGCCCATCGGAAATCTGAGAGCACTTCTGGACGGGGCCGGGGGGAGTTGCAAAACATGAGGCACACTTAAATTCGGGAACCCATACCCAAGAACCCCGGCATATTGCCCATTGCATTGAAAACGTTCGATTCAGCCAGCTGTGCCACACAAAAAGTGTCGGTCAAAACTGCAGAAGCCAGTGGCGAGCAAGGACGAGCCGGCAGCACATAGGATGTCCTTCTTACCGGTGGCCCGAAAGGATCGAAATGACTGCAGCAAGATTATATATCTTGGCAGTCTCCCTGAGAAAGTTCCCCGTGCAAGCAAGAGTTCTAGGCTCAGGACTTGATGGTTGGGGATATGTGCCGCATGAGATCCACCTTCATAGCGCACTCGTTGCTGCGAAGTTTTCGACTGCAATCCGCGTGCCTGCGCGGTATGCCCGCAAATCTGGAAGCGACCCCTCCCTGGCGGGAACGTAGGGCCTGCACTCCGCACAGAGTAAACAAGACATAATTGACACAATGCAAAGATGGAGCTTACATCTGCAAGCGATGCCTTATGCTGGTGACCGTTCGGTCGTCGAGCTGGTACCTGTCGCAGTTTCAGGAGAATGGAGCCTTTGGCACATCGTTGTGAGCTGCATCGTCGCGTGAAGCGTTCCAGGGCACTGCTCCCGCTTGTCGGAAGTCGCGTGCAGCTTTGTCACATCTTGGCCATAAGGCCAAAATCTAGACCTCACTGCAAGGCGTGCATGCCTATGCAGTTGACGCGAGATTGCCCGCCCAACTCCGCTCGAAACTGGGAGTGTAGCGAGGTTGTCATCATGGTAACATTGGGCACCGGAGCCTCTAGAGTCGAGGCTACCGGGTGCCGCTTGCAGATTGCACGATGCCTGGAGGCCAGCTTCAAACCATTCGCCGTAGCTCCGATAGAGACGAATCGGAGCCTTAGAGCGTGGTTAGAGTCGTCCGAGAGCCATGGCCAAAAGCGTCTCTGCAAAGCCAGCCGGCCCATCAGGCCCATCCCGTACTGAACGCTGTACCCCACCAGCTGAGCGCATTCTTGCCTTTAAGCTGGGCACCAGCAAAACCCAAACCCGACCGGCATTTCGGATCCCAGTCTCGCATGGCTTCTGCTTTTTTGCCCTCTGAGAGAAGCACATGTCTGTTGTCGCACGGCTTCAGATGCCCTACCTGGGGAGGCGTAGAGCTGAGGGACAAGATCGGGCACTGATGCTCAAGGTGGCCGGGCGGCCGTATCCAGCCGGCATTTTCCGATGGCGGTGGTGCTGGTGTACATCTCCCTGTCAAGCCAGCGGCTGGGCCCAGATCAATGACTACCCCAAAGCCCAAGCCATAAACCTCAACCACAACTCAGCGAAGGTGCTCCATGTTTCGCATATACGCAGCATCCCGTCGAAGGCCGGATGTGTGCCATGGACCTCATCGATGGAACTGTAAAACACGCCGCTCGGTTTGAGGATTTACGATTTCGGGCTTTGGGCTTGTAGGGTTTAGAGTTGTTGCTAGTAAGGTTTAGATTTTCTACTACTCGGGTTTATTTTTAGAGTTTCTACTAATAGGCTTTATTTTTAGAGTTTCTACTAATAGGCTTTCTTTTTGGAGTTTCTACTAATAGGCTATATTTTTTAGAGAGTAGGTTTCCTGGAGGGTTTTGGGGTTTCGGATCCACTCCTAGCTTTGACACACTCTAAACCCTTAAACCCTAAAACCCTAAACCCAAAGCCCCAAGCCCTAAACCCCTAAACCCTAAACCCTAAACCCCTAAACCCCTAAACCCCCAACCCCTAAAACCCTAAACCCTAAACCCTTCCCGGGTCTCGCGCTCGCCATCCTTTGCTCCCAAGCCTTTCCGCTCGGGCCAAGCGCTGCAAACACGGAGCCATGGGATGCATCTAGGGTAGTTCTCTAACTTAGGGTCCCTTTTTAGGTCCCCAAATATAGTACGGCACCCTTTATAAAAAGGACCCCAAGAAGGGACCCTTAATTTAGAGAACTACCCATTTAGGGTTTGGGGTTCGGGCCGAAGTTCGGGGCTTTATGGGGTCCGGTTTCGGGCTTAGGCTTGGGGACCTTCCGGAAGAAGCACGTGGTTGAGCTGTCTTTGATCGAACCGCGTGCATCCGACGCTCGCTCACCCAGTTAGTTGTGAAACACGTCCCCGGACTTCAGTCGCTCCGGGCACCTGAACAAAGCGACGAACGGATGGAACAATGAAGTGGGAGCTGCCACACCAACAGCCGAATCTTACCTTTCGTCAGACCGTGTATTTCGGGAATCTTGATGTCGCCGCCATTTTCCTTCGGGGGCCTTGGAACAGAAGGCTCGAGATCTCATCCCTGCACGGAATTCTTTGAGCTTCAGGCAGCACGAACTCTCGAAGTCCAAACAGGCGTTCTGCATCGGGGCAACCCCAACGCGCAGAAACCTGCAGAGATAGAGAAACTCGCGAGACTCAGCCCCACATTAGCCCCCTTTTTTCCCGAGCATCTCACAAGATGTAGAGAGCTCCAAGAGCAACTGCCAGAAAGACCATGGAAATCACCAGCAGCCTCGGGCTGGGATTGCATAGTTCAAGGCCGCAGAACCGGAGGCCCCCTAAACCCTTAAACCCTAAACCCTTAACCCCTGAACCCTTAACCCCTAAACCCTAAACCCCTAAACCCCTAAACCCTAAACCCTAAACACTAAACCCTTAAACCCTAAACCCTAAACCTCCGGGATCCCGGGCCCTGTTTTCTCCACTTCGCAGACGGAAGGAGAGACGAGGCCGGAAGACAGGCGACTGGCGTCTCGGGTGGCCATGATGGTGACCTAGGTTTTCCAGTAACCCCTTAATAATAAGGGAGTTTAGGGGTTGAGGGGTTTAGGGGTTTAGGGTTTAGGGTTTCGGGGTTTAGGGGTTTAGGGGTTTAGCTTACATTTGGGTTTTCACAAGGAGACCCCAAACCAAAAAGGGCAAAAGGGTATTACTGGGGAACCCAGTGACCAGCTTCGCAACCGGCCACCGGTCGGCCGCAGTCGGAAAGACTGCTGACGCACCTCAGTGAACTGGACAGGGCTCCCATATGGGACTTTCCCACAATTAGGGTACCTTATTTTGGGGTCCTTATAAGAATCATCCTACTATTTAGGGTACTATACTAGGGTCCCCTATTTTCGGAACTCCCCATTTCACCGAAATTTCACCGCCGGGCGTTCGTCGCCACTGTGCTTCCGTCGCTGAGGCGGAAGCCAGGCAAGGTCAGGTCTGGGAACTTCACCAACCTGGGGGTATGGCGCAATCCGTCAAAGTTGACTCAGACACAATGCGACGCCGTCGATGATGTTTCGTCAGAATCCCTTCCGTGAAGAGCCCACGCATGACCTTGAGCAGCAGACCATCGATGTCCCTTGGTTGAACACATCTTGGACATTGGATTCCAGTGTCCAATCCTGGAAAGGGTGTGCGATCCGGTTGGGCTCAGGCCAAGCTGCCAAGCTAACAGCCGCTTCAGACCGTACTCAGAACCATAGCTTAACCACGCCCCCGAGCCTTTCCACATGTGCTACCACCAGGCCACTGGTGTCCTACGCTCGGAGAAGTCTGGTCACTCTGGCAGAATGTGCCATAACATGGGGCCTAGCCTCGATATTGAACGAGCTCTGGAAAAGCCGCAGGTAGGGCGTGTGCGCAATCTTGCGGCCTGCCTAAGGAGAGTGGAGCACTTTCTGACGATTCGAGAAGTCCAAAGGCGCTGGGAGGTGCACGTGATCTCTGATGATGAACTGCAGGAAAACTGAGCCATCCTCTGCACGATGGAACAGCGCATGCTTGGGGGTCTTGGGGCTCTCCGCGTCGATTTTGTGCACTAAGGCAGCCACGCAAGACCCATAGATTTCGCAGGCATGGGCGTCTGGCTCTCCGACAACATGATAGACCTGCTTCGGGAGAATTCGGCGAGGCTCGTCCAGGAGGTCGAATGTCCCAAAGCCTCCTTTTTCTTCGGTTAACCCAAAAACTCCATAAGAGACAACCCCTCAGAGCCAGCCTTCTCGTCAATATAGTATCGCCTGGAAAGAGAGTCTGCTGGCCTGCTCGTCCTGTGCACCGACTTGAGCATGCGGCGTGTAGCCCACACAGTCGTTCAGCTGGAAGGTGTTGCCCATCAAGGAAGGCACCTCGGAACAAAAAAAACTCGCTCTGACGAAGCCTGAACTGATTTCTTGTAACCTGGGCCCAGCGGCCAGACGACTGGTTCCGAACAAGCCTCCCGATGGAAGGCTGTAGGTCGTCTCAGGAACTAGACCTCGCAGATTGAAAGTGCTTTGCCCAAGCCTAGATCCTCCGGAGATCCGTGACGGCACGATGCAAGCGGCTAGGGTTTTATGGCGCTAACACTACAGCACGCGGGACCGCGCTCAGCTTTGGAACCCTCCACTTGAAGGCAGTGGCAAGTGATGCGCTTCAGATAGGTACTGCGAAGCTGTGCTCACGCTGACGGTGCACCAGATGGTGCGAAGCACTCTTTCCGTACGGGACATTTCGTGATTTTGGACCCTCCCACCAAAAGCGCGCGGTCATCGAACGTTCTCTCACAGATCTCAGCGTTTTTTGTTCTGATCACGTCAAATTGAATCATTTTGAAAGATCTGGAAGGTTAAACACGTTCCGAGGGATCAAAAGTCTTTAGTCTTCGGTGGAAAACCCTAAAAAGTTGCTATGTTGGACCCTCCTCGGAGCGCACTTTTTTTTTCACACGAAACGCCTTAAAATGCCTTTAGAATGCCTCGGGCAGGCCTCAGTATGTCTTTTTGAGGCTTGCCAGAGGCCGTTTTGCCTTTTGGTGGCCTCAATTTGGGTCCTTTTCGGCCAGCGTCGGCGCTCCTCGAAGGCCTCGGGCGCTTTCGGGAGGCCTTTTTTCGAAGTCCCACGCAGTATTCCTGTGTCACTGGGCGCAAATTTGCTGCAGAAATGCCTCAAAATGGAGGTTTTGAAAAATTTTCCACAAAGGCTCCCAAATGCCTCTGTTTCTGTTTCCTCGAAGGTTTTTTCGGCTTTCCCGCAGTGATGCGTTTTCTGCGATCCCGCGGTGCCTCGGACCCTCTGCTTCACGCGGCTGGAACGTTCCTTTTGCAGTGCACTAAACCCTCAACCCGAAACCCTAAACCGAAACCCCTTTAAGACCCAGAGATGCAAGGCTTCTGCTCGCAGTTCTTCGAGGCAAACAACCGGCCGCGGAAAAGCGGAAGAAAACTCAGGGCCGAGCTGGCCCCGACTTTGCTGCATTGCTGCGACCAGGTCATCACCAGGGGCATCTCAGGAACTCCACAAAGCATCTCCAAGCCCCAAAGGAGCTCTTGGAGGAATCTGAGGCACCCGACTCCAGAGCCCGGAGCCTCTGAGGTCCTGAAGAGAGAAAGCCAAAACAAAATGTGCGGAAAAGTGCGCCGCCCTTTTTTTTGGGGTGCTCGGGGCCGGGACCAGCCACCAGCACTCGCCAAGGGATTGCATGGATTCGGCGCATCGATTTCGACCTTGTCCGGCCTGGACGTGTCAGTGACTTCGCCGCCTCTCAAGGAACAAAGCCTCTCAGAGACTGGGGCCAACTGTTCAAAATCGGGCACGGGTCCAGCGCAGGGTCTCCTGCAAATGCTTCAGACATTGCACGGCGTCGTCGCTTGTGAAGACTCTTTTGGACCACACCTTTGGCAGGTAGCTCGCCGGCTGGCTGGCCGAAACCTGAGACAGTGCTCAGCTTTTGAGGTGGCTCAGAGGTGTCGGGTGGCGTGGATCCAAATCAGCTTCCGACGTCCCTGCAAATAACCATCCAGCGCCTGGGTCAGTATCTGCAAGAGCGGAAAGCAAACGACCACAACATGGTAGAGAGCTTTACTGCATGACAGACTCTAAATGGCGGATTTCGTGGCTTGAGATTCCTTTGGGGGGTTATCGGCCTTCGTGGAGTCATGTGACCTCCCCAGCTCAAAGGACTAATGGTTTCACTCTGAACCCATATTGAGTTTAAGATTTAGGGTTTAAGGCTTCTAAACCCTACTCCAGAAGAACGCCTGAGGGGGTCTCAGCGCGAGACGTGCGCACTGAAGACAGCGCCTGTTACCTCTAGGCCAACCTAAACTTAAACCCTATAAATCCTAAACCACATCAACCCTAAACCAGATCAGCACTAAATCCTGAGAAACCCTAAACCCTACGAACCCGAAGCCCTATACACCCCAAATCCTACGAACCCTACTTTCCATCCGATTTGCTTGTGCCTCTCGTTCCTGAATGCCGAGGCAAGGTGCTTGCACGACAAATGCTGCCCCAACTTTCAGGGTTTGGGGTTTAGGATTCAGGGTTTATGAATTTGGCGGTGTTTATTGTTTACTTGCACAAACCATCAAAATCGCAGAAATGCTTCACCAGCGAAATGGCAAGGCCGCGGCTGCGCGTGTGTAGTTCGCGGCGGTTGCCAGGTACCCTGGCCTCCGTGGCAGAGTGTAGTATAGCATGCTACAGAATAGCAGAGTATACGTAGTATAGTATACTACAGTATCATACAGTAGATTATGGTACACTAGAGTATCGATATAGCAGAGTAGAGTATTGTAGACTAGAGCCGCGTAGAGCACAGCATATCATAGTCTGTTATGATATTGTTACCGTCCGGTATATGAGACCTTCCGAAAATTAGGGTACCTTATTGTGGGGTCCTTATAATGAGGATCCTACTATTTAGGGTGCTATATTAGGGTCCCCTATTTTCGGAAACCCCCATATGAGAGTATCGGCATACTATAGCCCAAACCCTAAACCCTAAACCCTAAGCCCTAAACCCTAAACCCTAAACCCGAGCACAGCATAGTCCAGTAAGCCAATCGAGCTCCCAGCTCGAAGGCTCCACTGGCCTCGACGCAGAAGAGAGCTTTCGGCTTCAGGCAAGTTCAGGGTATCGGGTCTAGGGCTTTAGGAGTTTAGGGTTTATAGGGCTTTAGGAGTTTAGGGAGTTTAGGGTTCAGGGTCTTGGGCTTAAGGCTTTTTTGGGGGGGTTTTCTCTGGCTGGACAAGCATCTTCCGGGTCATCACTGGCCTTCCCAATCAGCGCAAGGAAAGCGAAGGATGCGCAAGGTCGGAGCATCGTCGGACTGGGCGGGCACCGCCTGAAGCGAACACTTCGCAAGGTGCCGAAAAGTGCCCAAGAGCTCCTGCACCGGTCTGCCTCAGTGCCCGAACAACTTCATTGAGGAGACGGGTCTTCGAGCCGGAACAAGCACATGAATGTGCTCGGCACAACTGCCATGAACGATCTCAGTTCCTCGAGCAACCTGCAAACTTCCTCTTTTTTCGAGATCATCAGCTCACCTTCTGGTATCGATAACCTGGCGTTTCACATTGCCATCCCAATCGATGGAGTATGAGCCTTGGTAGGTCTCGGCATGGTCTCATCATTCATAGGCCACCAAGGCAATGCAATGCTCTACCAGACAGTAGCACTAAAGCTCCATGCCGCACTTGAGACGACTGCCGGGCCATCTTCTGGTCACCGATGACACTTGGCTCGACCCGCTGATGATAATCCTGTCATCTAGTGTGAAGCACATCTTCCCTGTTCCTACATTCATGATACTCCGCAGCTCCTCCGTGCAGCAGCCATCCAAGGCATCCGCCAAGGCAATGGGAACAACCTCGGAGCCTGGAACCTTCAGACAGGCCAGACGATCTGGGAAACTGCGGGGCGCCTTGTTGACCGGGAGGACCCTAAACCCTAAACCCTAAACCCTGCCACTTAGGCTTCACTGGGCAACCCGGGTGAGGGTGGCAGCAAAGCACAGCACCCACGCAAGGGATAACTGCCTGGATTCTGCAGGTCGCCAGCTCAAAGACCAACCTCCAGAATGGGTTTAGGGTTCAGGGTTTAGGGTTCAGGGCTTAGGGTTTAGGGTTCAGGGTTTAGGGTTTAGGGTTCTGGGTTTCCGGTTTAGGGTGTTGGAGGGGGAACTCGAGACCCTTGCAATCGAAGCAATTGCACTTCTCCCTTGCCTCATGCGCCGCTGGAGCATGCTCCTGCACTGTCATGACTCTAAAACAGCAGGCCTCAGGGGAGTGCACTGCTCCCCCTTCAAGAGCAACATCAGATAGGAGGGAAGTTTTAGATCTTGGGAGGAGGTTTAGGGTTTAGGGTTAGGGATGTGGCTGCGAATATCAGATCCCAGTTCAGGCTACTTGCGGCTTCGGCACGGAAAGCAGGTGTAGCACAGGATGCACAGGGCCATGTTAGCCCAGGACCTTAGGCAGCGGGATGATCCGTGCTTCTGCACAGCGCCGGTGAATATGCCATACTATACCCTTATATGAAGTATGATATAATATGCTCCATAATATGCTGTACTACAACATACTATACATGTTTTGATCACCATGCGTGGCGTTTCTGGTGCACGTCAAGTGTCTCTCCATTGCGCTCGTCTAGGTTGTAGATCATGCAGACTCCGATCTTCGCCGGACGTGTTCTTTGCGTCAGCCTATCTGCATAGCATTGTACCTGCATCTCAGCATGCGAAGGGTCACGATCGACTGTGGTTCATTGGCTTGCAATACGCATGCGTTTGCGCCTGAAACCTGAATAATCCGATGAAGTACGCCACAGCAGGGTGGAACCAGAACAGGAACGGCCAAGGTGTCAACATCCTCGAGGCAAAGCAAGAGCAAGTGGCTTTCTCGCTGCTGCTCTACCAACTAGTGCAGACATCAAATTCAAGGAGCTGCTTGAGACTTCTGCATTGGCTTTGCCAGTTTTCTGGACCACGCCGGGTGTCAGCAGCACCATGGCGAGCACTGTGAAAATGGAAGGGGCCAGTGCGATGTCGTTGCCGCCGACCGAGATAACCTCAAGAGGGTAAGATGGGTCTGGGATGGCCTGGGCAGCCGATGCTGAAGTGGGTTTGCAACACGGCAGGTTTTCCACAGCCCTGACCCGAAAAATGCAGGCTCGGCACCAGCATGTCACCAGGGCGGATGCGGTCCCGGATCACCTCCTGGCGGTTCCAGGGACTGGGAAGACTGGAGGCAGACGTGTCGTCGCCCTTGCTGATTCCTGGCTTGGTGTCGAGATGTATGGCTGACGCTTGTTCTGTTTGGCTCTCTTTCTGTGGCTCTGGACTCGTGCTCTCCTATTCCAAAAACACTTTGGGGTCAGGGCTGAGGCCGGACTCCTCCTGCTCGTATAGACCACAGCAGGACGGCATGATACAGCACTGCACACCACCAACACGGCTGGCCAGCGTCCTTAGCTTCAGGCGAGCTTGCCGATCCACTTCGAGGTGCAGGATGGTCTGTAGGATAGGTTTAGGGTTTTTTTTGTGGTTTAGGGTTTAGGGGTTTAGGGTTTAGGGTTCAGGGTTTAGGGGTTTAGGGGTTTAGGGGTTTAGGGGCTTAGGGGTTTAGGGGTTTAGGGTTGTGGACAAATGGATCTGGCACTGGAGCAGCGGCACTCCGAAGCTGCCGGCAAGAATCTTCCAAACCGCAAACGCAAGCGCCTGCCTACTGGAATCAACACTACATACTCTCTAGCTAAAAGATATTTGTGGAATGTGCTCATACATATATATATATATATATACACGTACACACAAATACAGTGTATAAGATATGTATATATATACACAGACACAATATATGCGTACATCTAGATACAGTATACACAGTATAACATATGTACATTACGTGATTCTCCTGAGGCTGGGGCGTTGCTTCGATAGCCGTGTTGAGAGCAAACGCCGGGGCCCCGAGGTCGAAAAGGATTTGGTTCATCCAGTAGGTCACGTCGCAGACCATTCTGAAACACAGGACGGGCACGCTCTTAACAACCCCCCCCCCAGCCACCCAATGCGGTTATCATGATGATCGTCATGACTAGCATTCTAGTCCTTCAGGGCAAGCATTCCGACTGATCCTGCTGGCAGCTTAGCGCTGAGAAGCTCTCCCAGGCAAACTGAAATGATGCTGCTCCATGCTGAAATCCTTCATTGCCCGAAGATACCGGAACCGAAATACCCCGAAACGTACGTGTCCTTGAAGTGCCTGGGAGGTTGCAAGAGCTGCTCGTAGCCATTCACGGCCGGGGCGTGGGCCGCCGCCGGACGCCAGCGCTCAGCCGGGGCACCCTGAGAAGATCTCCAACAGCCACGAATGATCCTCATTATGTAATGTCATGTTGTACCTTCGTACAGTTATGATATCGCCAACTTCACCATCTCCATCATCACCGTCTCAGACTCTGCTTAATGGTTCGGCGGCTCTTCGATGAAATGTCGCCCGGAGGCAAGGGTCCAGGTCCCAAAAGCTTTCAAGGGCATCGACGCTTAGGGCTTGGGGACGCTTGCGGGCAACCCTGAACCCCTAAACCCCTA